TTTCAGCGATATTACTATCGAGCCATCAGTCAGTACATCGCGTCAAAACAAGGATCATGACGCGTACGTTTCGTTTTCGTTGAAGATATTGGCCATGTGCTCATTGAGCCATGAGAACTCATTATGGGCCGCGTATGTGAACTCGTCTACCTCAACATCAACTATCTGAAGGGCAGAAGCGCGCTCATCAGCGACCCAAGCAGCTGAGCCGGTTGGAATGCGCGGTCCTCGCATGGCCGCCATTGCGTCGATTGAAAAGAGGCGCGTGTGGTGGTGATTGGAGTTGCTTATCAACTATGGTTCGAGCGATATTGGTTATGTACTCATCGGGTTGGAAGGTCGAGATGAAGTCGAAAAGTTTAGTGTGTTTGAAAGTTGTGAACTTGAAGTGCGAGAGGAGCTAGGTCTCAATAACAAAGAGGGATGTTTACCCGTATGCTGAATTTGGACTAGCGTTGATGGGTTTCCCAGCTCGGAAGTGGGGACTCACACAAGCTTCTATTCACGGCCAGTGGATGATGAGGACGTATTTCTTATGAAACAGAGGCATGTGAACAGAGGGTTAAAACCAAGAATGAAGTAGTTAATAGCATGTATAAGCTTGCATTCGTTTGTAGTTTCTATAGAACTAATTATAACTCAATTTGAGCTACAAGGCTACAACCGTTGTGCCGAAGCTAAACTCCAAGTACCTTTCTCAACGTCCTGCCAATTAATGATATCAGCCAACACGTGCTGATAACGTCTTATCGGTCGCAACTCTCTTGTTTACTTTCGCGTCCCCCTCCCCCTTTGGAGTGCGGAGCGACGAAACATAGCAAAAGATTCAACGAAGCCGTGGACGCTCAACCTCGCCCAACATGAGGGTTATAGAAGTAATTATTGATGTAAGAACTTGAATCATATTATTTCCTTGTTATATTTATTCTGACTTTTTTTTTTTTTTTTTGTTACAGGGCTTCAAGTCTTATGCCGTTCGTACCGTGATCTCAGGATGGTAAGCGATCTATCAAAACATTCAGAACAACCGTAGCCAACATATGCAGGGACGAGAGTTTCAATTCGATCACCGGCCTCAACGGCAGTGGAAAGTCAAACATTCTGGATGCGATATGTTTCGTTCTCGGAATCACAAACATGTCAACGGTTCGAGCGCAAAATTTACAGGTCAGTCACCGCCGATTCGACCACCCTTCGTACAAACTAACGACAACCGCAGGACCTGATATATAAGCGCGGTCAAGCTGGTGTCACAAAAGCCAGCGTCACAATTGTTTTCGACAATCGAGAAACTAAGAAGTCGCCGATCGGATTCGAAGAATATGCCACCATCAGCGTTACACGACAGATCGTCCTTGGAGGAACATCCAAGTACCTCATCAACGGTCACCGCGCTCAACAACAAACGGTGCAGAATCTATTCCAGTCGGTACAGCTCAATATCAACAGCCCCAACTTCCTCATTATGCAAGGTCGCATCACCAAAGTCCTCAACATGAAGGCTGTGGAGATCTTAGCCATGATAGAGGAAGCTGCCGGAACCAGAATGTTCGAGGATCGTCGAGACAAGGCGCTTAAGACAATGGCCAAGAAGGAGACCAAGCTAGTTGAGCTTCGAGAGCTTCTCAAGGACGAGATTGAGCCCAAGTTGGAGAAATTGCGAACTGAAAAGCGTGCTTTCCTGGACTTCCAACAGACTCAAAATGACCTGGAGAGACTGACTCGAGTGGTTGTTGCGTACGATTATCTACGCTACCAAGACTCTCTCAGCCAGTCAGCGGCAGATCTCGAAGGAAAGAAGCAAAGGCGACGCGATCTAGAGGAGTCAGCAGCTCGTCTGAAGAGTGAGATTTCTCATCTTGAAGAGGATGTTAAGAAAGTGCGAGCTCAGCGAGACAAGGAACTTCGAAAGGGAGGCAAGGCTTCTGCACTAGAGGAGGCAGCCAAGAAGCACTCGAATGAGCTTGTGCGACTGGCCACTATTCTTGACCTGAAGAAGTCCAGCTTAGCAGAGGAAGAAGAAAAGAAGGTGGCTGTTGAGAAGACAGTTTCAGAGTTGGAGGCCACCCTACAGGAAAAGACAGCCGCTTTCGAAAACGCAAAGGCCCGGTACGATGCCGCCAAGGAAGATCTGGAACAGCAAAACAAAGACGCTGAGTCTAAAGAAGAGCTTCTTCAAACTCTGCAAACAGGTGTGGCCTCCAAGGATGGCCAAGAGAACGGCTACCAGGGTCAACTTCAAGATGCAAAGAACCGTGCAACGACGGCGGCCACAGAGCAAGAGCAAGCCAAGATCAAGATTGCACATTTAGAAAAGCGCGTCAAGGAAGAAGAGCCTCGTGCGAAAAAGGCGAAGGATCAGAACGCCGACCTTCTGCGCGATCTTGATGGTCTAAAGACACAAGCTCAGAAGCTAGAGAAAGAACTTGGCCGTTTGGGCTTCGAGCCTGGTCAGGAAGAGCAGATGTTCAAGAGGGAGTCAGAGTTGCAACAAACTGTTCGCAACTTGAGGCAAGAATCTGACAAGCTCAAGCGTCAAGTAGCCAACACAGAGTTCAACTACGCGGACCCTGTGCCCAACTTTGACCGATCCAAGGTCAAGGGTCTTGTCGCCCAATTATTCACTCTTGACAAGGAGCACACTCAGGCCGGCACTGCGTTGGAGATCTGCGCTGGAGGCCGTCTATACAATGTCGTGGTTGATACTGAGGTGACAGGTACACAGCTGCTACAAAGGGGCAAGCTACGGAAGCGTGTCACTATCATTCCTCTCAACAAGATCGCTGCTTTCAAAGCTTCGGCACAAACCATTGCGACGGCTCAAAATATCGCACCTGGCAAGGTTGATCTGGCGCTGTCCTTGGTTGGCTATGATCATGAGGTGTCAGCAGCTATGGAGTATGTTTTTGGCAATACTCTGATCTGTGCTGATGCAGACACTGCCAAGAGGGTCACATTCGACCCCAATGTGCGCATGAGGAGTATCACTCTTGAAGGAGACGCGTACGATCCATCTGGTACACTATCTGGTGGAAGCTCACCGAACTCGAGCGGTGTTCTTGTACTCCTTCAGAAGCTCAACGGTCTGACTCGCCAACTGGGCGAAGCTGAAAGCGCTTTGAGGGAGCTTCAAGCCCGCATTTCCAATGAGAAGGCCAAGCTGGACCAAGCTCGCAGAATCAAGCAAGACTTAGATCTCAAGAGCCACGAAATTAAACTCGCCGAGGAACAGATCAGCGGCAATTCTTCGTCTTCCATCATTCAGGAAGTTGCGAATATGAAGTCAACCATTCAAGAGCTCAAAGAGAGCATATCTGAGGCCAAGACTCGACAAGCCAAGGCAACTGCCGATATCAAAACCATTGAGAAGGATATGAATGACTTCGACAACAATAAGGATGCTAAGCTTGTGGAACTGCAGAAGGCACTTGACAAGTTGCGAGCTGGCCTTGGTAAGAACACTGCCGCTGTAAAATCCTTGCAAAAAGAACTCCAGGGAGCGCAACTCGATGCCGAGCAAGCCGGGTTCGACTTATCTGCTGCTCGAGAACAGTTGCAAGAAGTTGAAGTTGCCATCAAGGCCCAACAGAAGGACATTGAAGACCTAGCAAAGCAAAAGGCTGAGCTCCAGGAAACGCATGACACTGTCCAGGCCCAGCTTGACGATGAACGCGCCAAGTTGCATCTTTTCGACGACGAGCTTCGAGCTCTGGAAGATGCCACTCGCTCCAAGAACTCACGCATTGCCGAGGAGAGTCTCGAAATGCAGAAGCTTGGCCATCTTGTCGAGAAGTTCCATAAGGAGCAACAAGGTGCTGCTGAAAAGGTCGCCCGACTCGAAAAGGAGTTTGACTGGATTGCGGACGAGAAGGACAAGTTTGGTCGCAGCGGAACTCCGTATGACTTCAAGAACCACAACATTGGAGAGTGCAAGTCAACGTTACACAACTTGACTGAGCGCTTCCAGGGTATGAAGAAGAAGATCAACCCCAAGGTCATGAACATGATCGATAGTGTTGAGAAGAAGGAGGTGTCGCTCAAACACATGATCAAGACTGTCATCAGGGACAAGCGTAAGATTGAAGAGACAATCGTCAGCTTGGATGACTATAAGAAGAAGGCCCTCCATGAGACATGGGAAAAGGTCAACGGTGACTTTGGTAACATCTTCTCCGAGTTGCTTCCCGGAGGCAGCTTCGCCAAGCTTGATCCTCCTGAGGGCAAGACTATTAGCGATGGTCTTGAGGTCAAGGTCTGTCTTGGTAAAGTGTGGAAGCAGAGTTTGACAGAACTGAGCGGTGGACAAAGGTATGCAATCCCTAAGTATTCCTTACATACAAATGCTAACAGCTCGATTTTTAGATCTCTGGTTGCTCTGTCTCTCATCATGGCTCTGCTCCAGTTCAAGCCTGCCCCTATGTACATTCTTGACGAGGTTGATGCTGCGCTGGATCTCTCACATACCCAGAACATCGGTCGTCTCATCAAGACCCGGTTCAAGGGCTCGCAGTTCATCGTCGTCAGTCTGAAAGACGGCATGTTCCAAAACGCGAACCGCATTTTCCGCACTCGCTTCAGCGAAGGTACCAGTATGGTGCAGGCTCTCACGCCAGCGGATATGAAGTAATGATGTTGACAGCAACTGGGAAATGTCTGGAATGAGTGTATGACAGGAACTAGATGGGGTTTTGTACATGAGGCGTCGGGTTGGATGGGGAGGTATGATGTTTATTTTAGGCATTAGGATACCATGTGATACCGTTTGATTTAGCAACGTTAAGGCATGGCCTGCGATTTATCAATTGCGCTGAAAGTGCTCCATTGTTCATGAGATATGTTGTTCTAAATCATGAGTATTAAATTGGGTTGTGTCTCCTTAAATGAAGTTGCATGCCAGGTAACTAGTTCTCCAGGAACATAGAATACGCTGCATGTAACAAATCATGGTCAATGCCATTCAATCTGTCGATGTGTTGATCAACTCGATCCAGACCTCTCGTCTATAGTTGATCTACCCTAAAGATCCCGATTTTCTGCTCAGCTCCAAGATACTGAGCCAGCTCGGCAGGAAGTTCAACATCCATGTTCAAACCCATAACATTCTTTGCTCCAATCCTGACTTCAGCAAATGAATAACCTCTTGCTCGAATTTCTTCCTCATTTGGGAATGACACTGGCAACAAGAATTCCTTCTCAGGTCTAGCTTTGGGTCCGTGGCTGATTTTGGCCGAGACTTGTTGCAAAATACCCTGTAGTCCTGAATCTGTCCAGGGCAACCTCAAGACAAGAAAGGATCCTTCAATATGACCCAAGAGACGGCTAGTCTTGTTTGGATCAGGAATCCAGAGGTCAACTTCGATATTGGCTAGCGACGGGAAGTCTTCGCGTGAGATAGCTTGCCAAACAACACCGTCCCGACCAACTACGGGGTCTTGTTGAGCAAGCGTATACAAACGATCAAACTCTGAGTGCTTGGATGAGGCCCCGTCGCGCTCTAGCTCAATTCCACAACATGACTGAACAGGGAAAATAAGCAGACTCTGTGCAACGGCCCCCTTCCCTTCTGGCTCTGCCCCGGGGAGCCGGGGATCCGGCGATCTGTCAGGGCCGATGTCCATGTCTCGGAGGACCACGCCGGCCCGCGAGTGGGTCTGCCGGAGGACATCGCTGCGATCCACGGGAACGGGAGGGAAGAGGATCAGGATGGGTACAAGGAAGGCGACGAGGGTGACAGTGAGAAGCATGAGCGACACGGCGTCTAGGTTGCACACAAAATGCTTAGTGGCAACCATTCCATCACGGATGCGAATACTTGAAAGCATCGTCGTCATATTGCTCAGCCGCTGGGCGAGGGCTGAATCGCGACTTGCAGCGGTAAGATAGGCCTGCAGGCGCGGGATCAAATCCGCCATTTGCCGTCGAGGTGAGGGGACTGCGCTAAACGCTAGGGAGGGAGGCTTGAGTTGAGTTAACCTCAGAGATCGTGTCTCGCACGAGCTGCGTAATAGGGGAAAGGTAAGGGTCTGAGGGCTGAAGTCGACGTCAACGTGCTAGTCCGATATCGATCGGTCTGGTTCTTGTATGTTTGCAGATCCTTGTTGTTATCGACGAAGTTGTGGTCTTTGCTGTATGTATGTATGTGAGCCCACACACTGTAGGGTCGACTAGTGATTTAGGTTTGTTTCGAGTTTTCATTTCCCCTCAAGTGTCATGATAGGTCCAGGATGCTGAATCTCCAACTACTCACTGCTGTACCCCTTCGGCGGCCACGGGCCTCTGATTCATTGGAAACCATTCCCAGAGCGCACGTATCGCATCGTTTCGTTTTAAATTACGACCAGGATATTCAGAGTCTCAAACTAATCCCCTTACCTGAGCTCTTTCAATACCATGGGTACAGCGATATAAAACTTTGCTAGGCTAGGTTGCCGCGTGCTGGACTGGAATGGTAGGGTTCGAACTGTGAAAAGCTAGCAAGCACCCATCCCATCCACTCATTTATGCAAAGAGACAGGGCCTTGTTCCCCTTGTAGGGATCATATTTTGACAACACGTCTTCTCCACAGGATCCGGAATGCGTAGCCGCTCAGCACACCTGCTATGCATATTGTCGTCCCGCCTATCCGATGTAGTTTGATATCATCGTACACATAGCATGAGTGATATGTACCGTTCTTCCAAGGATCCAAAACATACCGCCTCCCTGATCTGATTGGTGGCGGAGGTAGTGCTATTGTAAAGATGCCATGCTAATTGCATGTATGCCTCCTCACACCCCGCTGATCATGGATTACGTATCTCGGCCAACTAGATAGACAGATTCTTTCGTAGCGCTTGTAACCTGCAGCTACGTCAAAGGATCTGAGGTAGCCGGAGAGAAAGAAATACCGAGCAGGGTCACCAGTGGAACGGTTCAGCCGTTTCCCACCGACCTGTCAACGCCAGGGACCCTCTTTGGTTGACTTGGTCGTTGAACCTTGGTGCCACCAACAAGACACTTGCTGGTAAATGTGTCAACTGCCAACGGTCTCACTTCAGCTATACTGGGGTTGAGATAACAAATAAGAAGTCAGGATTACTCTGATTAACCCTGATGGAGAGGTTTCGTTTCTGTGAATTTATTGGCCAACATAGGCGCGCTCCATTGTGAGTTCATGCTTTGTTTTGGGACCTTGTAACTGACTCTGCGACACTGTGCGCTGTCAAGCAGCGTAATTTTGTTGTCTTTGATAATCACAAGTAAGTCCCGGAGTTAACCAGGTAGTCTGTTGAAGAGGTGGGTCAATTCCCGTCTGATCCTGGTGTTCCTCATGGCGGCTGCGACCACCAGAAAATCCTCGCTGCATTGATCGCCATGAGGCTGGTCGGAGATACTTCTGCTTTCATCCAGAGCCTCCATTCCTGGTTTCCCTGTCGTGCCGACACGCTGACTCGTAGTAAAGTAAGCACACATGGTTGCTGTACTTGGCCCAGAAGAGTCACGAAGCTGTCAAGCAGGGATTAACAGGTAACTGTAACTGGCAAAAGAAATTGGTTGATTATACCATTTTGGCCTCGTTCTGCCAGATCGAGTCTCAGCGTGTCAGAGGTGCGTCCATGACAGCTTTACAGCAAGACTTATTGAACCGACGGGCATAAGTCCGCAGATCTTAGCCCAGCGCAGAACTCCATACCCATAGAGGAAGTTGTGAAATGCAGTGAGATGCACAAACGTTCCCCCCAGATAACCAGGTGGGACAGTTGTAGTATGTTATACAGGCATAGTTATCTCACTTTCCTCGACCATAAAAGCGTAAGAACACATTGACGGATAATGTTGAAGACAAAACAAGCCGGAGACTCGGGTCCGCGCCCCACTGATTAACTTTCAGGCTGAAAGGCATGCCTGGCTGTAATTTCCACATCTTGTTGCAAGGGAAGTCCTGGGATCTTGAAGGATGAACGAAAGTGAGGCTCGATATTGTCAGCGGTTCTGATCCATCTCCACCATACCCTCCCCGCAACCCCTCAATGGTCTAGCGGTGACGCTGATGCAGACAAACTCCGCCAATGCCAATTTGCTGTGATGGGGATAGCTATGCCCAACTCAGGCTCTCGTTCTTCCAAAGATCCTGGTTTCGGTACGTGAAACGGCTTTGAAACAAGTAAAACACCAGAGTTGAAGACCTTTCGTAGACTCTGTGGAGATTTTATGCCTCAGTTGTATCGATACAACAGCAACAAAAGAACTTCAGGGATCCGTATTTAGAAAATATCCTGGCTCTTTATCGAACATTGCACTTCACACGATGTTGCGATCAGCTTTCGCCGTAATAGAAGCTCTTCAGTCCTATCAAGATCCCAATAACTTTGAGAAAGCCCTCACTCCCCATATGGACACCACCAAGGAGTGGCGGTTAGTTTCTGCTTGAGTCGAATCCTGACGAGGGCTTTGCGTTTATGAATACGAGGAATCATTTAATTGTAGCGCTGAGTTCTACACCCACTTCAGCAACTGCAGAAGCTGACCGTGATAGTGTTGGTTTCGATCTGTCAGATCACTCTTGCAGTGATGCTCTTGAAAACCACTGATAACCCCGGCCAGAGTTACCCCGACGGACTATATGGTCGTATCAGATCCAAGCACACTGCAGCTTTAGTCCATAACTTGTCGAGGAAGGATGAAGAGGACGTTTGAAGAGAAGTGGAGGACTGATGAACAAGGACATAAATCTTCCGAAGCGCGCGCTGACCAAGAACGCCAGCATTCGATCCTTCTCAACTTGAACATCTTTCTATCTGCATTCAGTTTCCTACACCTCCAGTACATAGTCTAGTATGTAGGCTTTGCCAGAGGAGAGGGATCAGACATTATGTCCCTTGACGCTTGGCAACATCGGCCAAAGCGAATCAATGTACTGCGGAATTTTGGTGACCTGGCCCAAGACGATTTGAGCATAAGTGGTGGGAGATGGGTGAAGAAGGCCTGTGAAATGGGCTGTATTCTTTGTGGGTCGTTTGTTGGTTGTCGCGTTTGGCTAGACCAGGGCCAACATCGTAATCCTCCAGACTTGCGGCGTGCTTCCTATCCACTGCACTCTGGTGCAAAATGTCTAGGATCATGCGGGCCTTTTCTTAAAATCGGGATATCCGTGGTCTTCGAGTAGTGAAGAGGACCTAGAGAAGTCCTTGGTGGTATAAGTGTTCGGTATATGTAAGTTCACGATGTTCAAGTAGTTTACTCAACCCGATCACTCGGGTTATTGGCTCGTGGCTTTGGCACGTTCCAGAAACCAACTAAGTTAGCTCGACGGGAAGCTCCTGATCTATGGTAACTAGAGCTCCTCCTCTATTACCACTCACCATCTATAGGGTTGGGGATAAGTTTTGTCTGTGCTCAAATACACATGGGCCTTGACGGTAGCGCTTGATAACGCCGACGAATGTCGGTGCGGGCTCCGATAATGAAGGCGTTGAGGCTTGAGGAGCAACATTGATATCATCGCACAGGACTATGCAGCGTTATAATACTGCATACATAACCTGCATGTACAAGATGGGGCTTGCAGAGTTAGTCCTTGTTAGCTTGCATGGTATCACTGGGCACCACGTCTGCAAGCTTCATGCATTGAGGGTACCAAAATATGCAGCGTTGAACAAACAGGGCATGGTCAATTGTTGGATCACTCAGGGCTGCTTTGGTCTCGAAACTGGTTTGCCGGAGTAGTCGGAGGTCTCATGGTAAAAACATAGGCTTGTAATAGATCGTTTCAGGACGATCAGTACTCAATCAGGCCTCTAGTCAGAAGCATTGAAGGCTCATCTGTGGTTGTACTATAGTAATGGTATAGAAACCATCTTCTCAACTTGACCAAATACTCTGATGGCATGATCTGGGTTGATGCAGGGGGGCAGAGCTGAAAACAGGGAATCAACGACGTGTATCCTAAAATTTGCCACAAGCTCGCTCACAATCTGAGTCTTGAGAACGAATGTTCAACGTCCACCATACATCGTCATGATGTCGATGACAAGAGAAAATAGAATGTTGAGCCAGAGTCAACTCCTGACAGCCATGACCCACAGAGGCGTTCATTGCTGGGTTCGGCCACGCGACTACCCACACAGGCTGCCGGGAGCGGGACTTGATCCAAGCGTCAAGACATCATTAAGCCGTTTCATTTGTTGCCAGTAGCTGGGACGGATCCGGTGGTTGTTGCTCCGCGGCGCCTCTTTCAAGGGTTTCATTGGGACATGACTGTCCTCCTCTCACGGTCGCACCCTTGTTGAGGGTGCCCTATCAGATCGCCATCTTGAGCCAGGGACCATGGCCGCATTTTTAATGCCAAGCCTGCCAATGACAGGTACAGATGTGTGAGGATGAGGAAACACCTCAAGAGCTGTTTTTCTGTGCGTAAGATGTGGTGAACAAGATAATAAAGCCATGAAGTATCAGAACAACAGAGGTAAATCATGCTGTATGAGTAAAAACTGCGGCATATACTCTTGCGGATAATAATAAGGCATATGCTTGGGAAGTCTGCCAGTTCTTTGTTCCAAGCCAATGACTTCCATCCTGACAGTCCTGGGAGGTTGCATCACCGTTGATGATTGACCTTGTTCATGGGTGATCCTTGAAGTGCCTCCCGAAAAGAACAACGTCAAAAGCACAGACACAGCCTTGAATGGCTCCCAAGGATCCAGTGCCATCATTGTGGTCGACGTATCTCCTTATGCCTCGATATTCTAGAGGTTCGTCTTGATTTGTTTGCATATTATGTCAGCCTCATTTCATTGATTGCACCAGGCTGTCCACTCGCGTGGTTGAATGAAGACTGAGACTACTATGTCTGGCCAGTAGAAAACTGAGCTGCAGAGATTGATAATGTGATATCATTTCGTGAGGAGATAGTCGTATATTTGGACTTGAACGTGCTGTTGAGCAACTTTTCAAGGTTGAGTAGGGGTCAGGAGGAAGGCGAAAAGTATGACAAGGCTATTTCGCATTCTTTAGCTGCATTAGGTCAAGACCAGATGGATGGATGAATACATACCTGCATGATGAATGAATATGTACATACATCCATCCCATCCATCACAAACTTTTTAACTGGAACATGGTAGCTCATCAAAGCCAGTGGAGCGGTTCCGACTGCAAAGAATTAAGGCCGACCCATCAGCTGCAAATGTCCGTCTGCGGCTTCGGCACTGTCCCA